CTTTTTCTTCCCTTTTTTTTTTTTTTTTTTTTTTATTAAGTAGGAAATAATTTATGTGCCTGGTATTTTCAGTTAATGTTTATTGAGAGGTAGTATATATTATGTTACAGTTACTAAGAAAAATATCTCAGTGATGCTAAAAGTAATCATTGTCTTTATGCTATGAAGACTATCAATTTCAGAAGTTTGCAGAAGTGAATGAAGCTTTGTTTTAGAAATAGATGTACCATTTTTTACTCAGTGTTTCTCAAAATTCTATGTAATTATTCTAAATGGAATTATATTTAAATGCACTAACATATAGCTTACTATAGAGACCACTTTTGGATAGTTTTGCAAGTATTGCAGAGAATAGTCATCATCCTAGTTTTATATTACTCTTGATTTAAGTCGCTTAAAGTAAGAAAAAATATATTTAAAGTTGTTAGCTCAGGTTTTTCAATTAAATGCTTTATTAGGTTAGTATTTAAAAACTATTTTAGCTGAAACCGCTTTGGCTCAATGGATAGAGTGTCGGTCTGCGTACTGAAAGGTTCCAGGTTCGGTTCCGGTCAAGGGCATGTACATTGGTTGCGGGCACATCCCCGGTAGGAGGTGTGCAAGAGGCAGCTGGTCGATATTTCTCTCTCATCCCTTTCCCTTCCTCTCTGTAAAAAATCAATAAAATATATATGTTTTTAAAAACTATTTTAGACATCTTTAAAGGACAATTTCAGACATTTTTAAGCCTTCGAATCATATACATTGGTTTCATAAATGTTCTGTGTCTCACCCCCACCTCTCAGGCCAGAAGTTTAAAGTGGTAAGATTAAATATCTGTTATAAATATTTGTTATTGAATGAATCTTAGTAAATGGAAAGACAATAGAGATAAATTACATTCTTACATCTGTTGACTATCCAACCAGTTTTTAATCACTTTGAAAGCTGCTTCATTTCTAATTTATTTCTATAGGAAGCCATGTGCCTTCAGTGTAGATAATTACCAGATTTTGATTGTCCTTTAATATGTTTTTCCTAATTGTTCTATTCCTGGATTTAAGAGTCATGTTTCTCGCCAAGACCAGTTTGGCTCAGTGGATAGAACGTCGGCCTGCGGACTGAAAGGTCCCGGGTTCGATTCTGGTCAAGGGCAAGTACATTGGTTGTGGGCACATCCCTGGTGGGGGTTGTGCAGAAGGCAGCTGGTTGATGATTCTCTCATCAATGTTTCTAACTTTCTGTCCCTCTCTCTTCCTCTCTGTAAAAAAGTCAATAAAATATATTTAAAAAAAAAAAAAAAAGAGTCACGTTTCTCAAAAGAAAAGAAAAAATAGTATTTCTCCACATTGGTCTTTGGGGCCAATTTTAAATTAGATCCGTATATCTTTAACTTTTAAAATCAAAACTAATTTATGAGGATTTGTTCTCCGAAACAGAGGGGCAATCAATGGATTTTTATTTTTGGCTTTCCTATATAGTTATAAATCATAATGCCTTGATATTTTAGCAAGAGATGTGTGTATGAAAATTTAGCATTTTTGTCATTGTAGAAGTAAAACTGCCTTAAAATATAGAAAGTACAATTCTAGTTGGTCGATAAAACATCATTTACAGGTTTTTTTTTCTCAAAAATTTTTATTGAGATACTCATTATATCTTAGGTGTACAATATAATTCGATATGTGTATATTTAAAGTTTTTAGAAATATGAGTATCAGTTTTTCCCTCATCACATGAATTCAGTATTGGAACATTCTAGATTTGATATGTTTTTGTTTTTGTTTTCTTTCCCTTCTCTAGTTGGCCAGATCAAAGTCATAGCATCTATAGATCTTTGGCTGAGGAAGACAATTTCTTTGTAGGAAAGTATTTAGTATTTTGATTGAAGTTTCCTTCTTTGGAGTGAAATAAACAAAATGTTCTTTAAAGATTTTAAGAAATATTTGCCACCTTCAAAAGAAACCAAGAAATAGGGAATGTGGATAGAGAGTACAATTTATTTTAAAAAGAAGTTGAATTTTCTAGAGAATATCATATTAGCAAACATTCTATTGCTACCTGCTTTTTGAAATTCATCACTAAGTTATGTGTTCCACCATGGTGTTCTTTAAGATAGGATTTAGCATTGATCACAAATGAATAAATTGAGGGGATTTTTTTTTTTAATGCTATAACTTCTTCCTGTATGTATAGAACCTCTTAATGGAAAGACATTACTACTTGGCCTAGGCAGTAATGTCACTTTCAGATTGTTTTTAAAGCCAGCCTTTTTCTTTTCGATGAGTCACCTCTGAGTGGACTAACTGAAATTTGCCACTTTCTCTGGAGTTCCTTGTCTCATTCAAAGCTTGACTTTTTTTATGCAGAAAGATGTTGGCAGGCCTGGGAAGACTTCATTAAAAGACAAAAAATTCTAATGAAAACTAATTCAAGAATTTTACTCAAATGCACGTAGTTTTCCTGGCACTGAAGATCTAAGGTTATTTTACAGACCTTTACTCATATCTATATCTAGATATAGATATAGATGTATTTTTTAGAAAGGTCTTGATGATTCCCCTCCTACTCCTCAAATCCTCTTAGCGTTCTTTAGTGAAGCAGATGACCGTCACTGTCCAGCTGATCTCTTTGATATTATTTCTTTAAAGACCCGCCTTGGGCCCTGAATACTGATTTAGTTAAATGAGAAATTGGAAACTAGAGTTAGTTCTCTCATTTTGAGCGAACACCTTCTTGCACCCCCTGCATAATTAAAGAGGAGGTTGTTTATGTTCTCCCGTAGCAGCACAAAAATCTCACACCCTGGTCCAGTATGAAAATAACTGCCGTGGCACAAAGTGCCCTTCCTCTGTCCTCACTGAAATTGGGGGAGGGACAAAGCCCAATTGTTACTTTACCCCATCCCATCTGCCTGCTAGAAGGCCTGTTTCCTACCCTAATTGGTTTCTGCCTAACAAATGGTGTTTCTTTTTTACAGCATTATGATCCTGGACTTGTTGTGGTGATGGTAAACTTAGCAGTGGTAATTTTTTATTTTCAGACTGAATACTCCTTTTGTCATCAGTGCACCAATATGTTAGGCTTACTTTCTCTGTTGTAGCCTTCATCCTTCTGCTTGGTCTTTTTCATTTTCCTTTCCTTTCCTTATGCAACTTGTCTGATCCTCGTTCATTAAAGGGTAATGTTAAGAAGGGATGTATCTGTGTTAGAAGTGAAAAAAAATCAGTTAAAACATTAAATTTTAATACTGTCAAAAACTTGATTTCTCCACAATGTAATGGGCACTAGCACTTGCTACTGCAATTTATAAATAAATTAAAACAAACTTTGACTGCCTTAGAAGGCAAAAGTACTAATGCAGAATTTATAAACAGGGGTTTACAGAGGTAATGAATTTATACCAAAACTTTCTTGATTCTTACATAACAAATTCTGACAGACCAAAAAAGATACCAAAACAACAAAAAAAGTAAATTCCTTTGTTGTTGTTGTTTTTCAATTCTTTTATTGGACCATTTGTTTTTACCAGTAAATCCCTGATTGAGACGTTATGAAAGTGATATTGCACCCAGGAAGTCATTTTTATAACCTGTCTTAATTTGGTCCTTTTGCTAAAGATTGCAGTCACTGCTTATTTATTATACCATTGGGCATAAGATAATAATGCATTTCATTTTAACTGGCAGTCTTGGAAAGTATCTAAAAGAAGGCTGTATTTTAGAACATTTTTCTGGCAGCAGAGGCTCTTTATTTACTTAAACTTTTTTTCGCTATAATAATTATTCCTAATTATCTCCTTATTGTTTAAAACGTAATGGGATATTGGTGATAAGTAAACTTCTGAATTTGTTTTTCTTATTTTTAATAAAAGCTAATTCCATAGTTACAGAGCAATGAGGTCAAGCGGTTGCTGGTCCCTTTGAAAACAGTTTCTTCTTTTTTGTCCAGGACCAAACCTAGTCATGATCATGGCATCTGTTATTTTTTAATTTGATTTTGGTAATAGCTCAAATTTAGCTGACAAAACTTAAATTTTAGCCCAAAGGTATAATATACATGTGTGTATAACAAAAACAAAAAAATTAAAAAAAAAAAAAAAAAAAAAAAAAAGACAGTTGTTTACACCAGGCTGAGTGAAATGATGAGGAAAGTAAACATTGTGTTTTTTCACTAAAGGTGTACAACGGATAAGGTAAGTCCTCTTATCAGTGGGCTTACATCACAATAAACAGCGCAAGTTGTGATGTAAAACAGCAGCTGTGGTAGTAAAGTGCTTGTCTGCCCCATTTTGCTTTGTTTGGCTGGTTATGAGTGGATTAAATATACATTTTTAAAAATCTTCAGCATAGATCGACTAGATTAAAGTCAATTTTCTTCGCAACTAGTCCTTTTCACAGCTTACCGATTACCACAGTCAGGTTAAGTCCATTTTGGAAAAGGGGACCTCAGTGCACCAGTTCAAAAGAAACACTGTTCTTGTTTCTAAGGGCAACTAACTTGTTGCTTATTTAAATTTTTCATAGCCCCACTGAACTGTAAAGCATCTTTTGAAAACAAAACAAAAAATATTAAACATACCGAGTTGTAATTACAGTTTTCCTGTATCATGTTTGAAACTGCTTTTTTGATTTAAGCATGTCAATTGAAATATTTATTCCAGTTTTAAAAGTGTATATGGGAGGATGTCAGTGAACAGTAAGAGTGAAATGATTCTTGATGAAAACTTATTTTAAACCTCCTGGGGCCATTGCTTAGAAGTGCTTTGCATTACTTAATTTTGTCACAGTAATCTGGAATTATTCTCACTGGAAGGACAATCAAGGTGGTTAATTGGGCTTAAACTGGGAGAGGTAGGTTTGGTTGTAAGCTGTGAGAATGGCTTGTGTTTGGTTCACTGTAGCTTTCTGGTCTCTGCACTCCAAGGCAAGATCTCTAACCACCCAAACCCAATGTGTAAAGTGAGCTTTTGGCTTGGCTTAGCTTTGCATCTTAACTTTGATTGTGTGTTCCTGTTACAGGGAGAACTGATCCCATTCCGATTGTTTTCAAGTATGACGTCATGGGCATGGGTCGCATGGAGATGGAGGTAAACTGATCTCATTAGCTCACTCGTTTTATGGAATATTTAAAATTGATATTAATTCCAAATTCAGATGCCAGTGCAAGAATACATTTATTAGATAGAATGTAGTTTTAATATTTTTCTTTGGAAATTTAAAATTACATTTTACATTTTTACTTAGTGCTGCCATTGACGTAGGTAGGTGGCAAATAATAACTCTGTTTTAATTGAGGCATAGAGAAATTCAGTGTTTTGTCCAGGATTATGCCACAGACCCTGGTACTCATTTCAATAGGCAGTGTTGCTTAACTCTTAAAATATTTGCTATGGTAGAAGATTTGTCCCTTAGAGATGTGTACAACTGTCGTTTATGGTATCTTCATCGGCTAAAATATTTTCTCCATTTACTCCTAATTCTTTGACATTGACCTCTGAATTAAAGTCTGTTATTGTTTTTTTAAAAAATGTGCCTGTTGCCAAAACCGGTTTGGCTCAGTGGTGGAGCGTCGGTCTGCGGACTGAAGAGTCCCGGGTTCGATTCCGGTCAAGGGCATGTACCTTGGTTGCGGGCACATCCCCGGTAGTGGGTGTGCAGGAGGCAGCTGGTCGATGTTTCTCTGTCATCGACGTTTCTAGCTCTCTATTTCTCTCCCTTCCTCTCTGTAAAATATCAATTAAAAAAAAAAAAAAAAAAAGTGCCTGTTGGGAACCAACAGCATGCATGTAAGAATTAATGATTTTCTGCAAGCTATTTTCTCTGTGGGTGACAATAAAGCAAGAGGTTACTGAGCAAAATACAGAGGTTTTTTCATCCAGTACTGTAGTTTGTGCAGATGACTTTTAAATTGCTAATTGGGGAATCGTTAGGGAGTAAGACTAATTATATCTCATTTTGTTAAGCTCGATTATGCCGAAGATGCTACCGAACGGCGCCGTGTCCTAGAAGTGGAAAAAGAAGACACAGAAGAATTAAGACAGAAGTACAAGGTACTTAAATGAAGCTTTTCTTGCATGTGGGGTGTTCACACTGAAAGATATTTTCAGTGAAAGGATCTCTGTTGACAGCACTTGTTTGACATTTGGTGGTGATTAGTGGTAGATCTCATCTGTTAGTACGACCACTCACAAATTGCCCCACTAACTTACCCCTTATGTTTCATTCAGCTTTTACTTGTGCCACTAAATTTTTGAAAAGCCCTTTTTTCCTCTTCAGGTAAGACTACCACTTTACAACATGCACTTTAAAATTTTACCAAGTTTATTTTTTGTTTGTATTTTGTGGTTCTTACAGGATTATGTTGACAAAGAGAAGGCAATTGCTAAAGCATTGGAAGACCTCAGAGCCAACTTTTACTGTGAACTCTGTGATAAGCAATATCAGAAACATCAGGAGTTTGACAACCATATCAATTCCTATGATCATGCACACAAACAGGTGAGGAATAGTTATTTGCTAACAAAGAAAAATATACTTTATTTTTTGTTATAACTATTGAATTTTGAGTGGACCCCCAAAAATTGAAGACTATGGTTTCTCTGGTTTCTTGTATCTGCTAGTCTTAATATGAAGTCATCTGACTTTTTTTCCATGACAGAAGTCCTGACATAGACCTCTCCCTTCCAACTTATGTAGAGTGAAGAATTGTGAACTTCATAAACCTTGCATAAAATTTTTGTTTGAGTGGTTCTTAAATTTGTATTTGATTTGGTAATTCAAGTAAGGATCACTAGGAGCTTTGTTTTTCTTTCTCCCTCTTTATGAAACTTTGAACAGTTATCCCAGGCTGGTTGTTTCATCTTCTGTATAGACGAGTTCTTGCTTTATTAGGCTACTCTTTCTTATTAGTCAGTCATTTTGTTATACGGTACTCTTGGAAGGTAGGTAAATCTTAAGAAGGAAAATAAAATTAGATGCTATCTTAACTTCAACAAAAAACTGATGCTGCTCCTAAGCAATTTGGCTCAGTGGATAGAGCGTCAGCCCTCGAACTGAAAGATCATGGGTTTGATTTCTATCAAGGGCCACATGTACCTCGGTTGCGGGCTCCGTCCCCAGCCCCAGTCCGGGCCTCTGCAGGAGGCAACCAATCAATGTGTCTCTCAGTCAGTGTTTCTCTTTCTATCTCTGTCTCTCCCACTTCTTTCCAAACGCTCTAAAAATCAATGGGAAAATATCCTCAGGTGAGGATTAACCAGAAAACAAAACAAAAAAACTGATACTACATGTTGAAAAGTTTGCTGAAAAATAAATTACACTTTCTTTGCATTCTTTTTTAAAAAATTTATTTTGGGGATAAAAAATCAGTACCTAATGAATTACTGGCATAAAGAAAGCAGCAATACTCCTGAGGGATTGTAGAAGGAGAAAATGAATCTTTATATCTATAGCACAGTTCTGGCTTATTAAAGGATTTTGAGCTATTTGATCTTGGGTGACTTTAGCATAACTTGTTCCGTTTGGGGGAAAGGGGGTACATAGTTGTATTTGTTAGGTTTGTAAGATTTATGGGCTTTGCTGGAATGCTCTCTTAAGCTGAACCTGTTAAACCAACATTATTTTAAACCTTTGCTTTATTTCTCAACCAACCAAAGATTTCAGAGCACGGTTAAAGAGAGGCTTTGACTAAGCTTTACTTTTACTACCAAGGGGGTACTTTTCAAAGACAGATTTTCAACAATTTATACACATTTGGACATTATTTTAATATATTGTAAGCTCTGCCTGGTTTAAAAAACAGAAATTGAGAGAGCTTAGACAGGATGTGGCAAAAGTGGGTTTATAGTTGTGTTGTGTACGAAACACAGAATTTATTCTTTTTTCAAAAGTATATTGATTTCAGAGAGGAGAGGAGAGGGAGCAAGAGAAACATCAATGATGAGAATTATTGATTGGCTCCCTCCTGCAACCCCCCTCTAGGGATTGAACCCACAACATAGTCTGTGCCCTTGGCCAGAATCCAACCTGAGACCCTTCAGTCTGCAGGCCGATGCTCCATCCATTGAACCAAATCAGCCAGGGACAGAATTTATTCTTGTGTTATATGTTAATTATTATTTTCCATATGAACAACTATAAACCTACTTTTGCCCCAACCTGTATATGAACAAAATATATTGGCAGTTACCTTACTCCTTTAAAGAATGATCTGCCAAGAAAGAAGAATGCAATAGTGAATAATACTTATTCAGTAGCTTTTGCAGCTTTTCAGTATATATATATAATTTAAACTTTGGGGTTATTTTTTATGGATTTAAGAAAGACATTTTATACCTAAGTACATCTTTACCTTTTTGGGTTTTTGAGAATTTCTTCAATTAAGTAGTCTCTGTGATTAGTTAAAAACATTACAGAAGAAACTTTAGAGACCAAGTAGACATTTAGAAAAGTTACATTTTAATTAATGAGAAGTCTCCTGAGTAAAGTTTTAATTATAAGAGAATAAACCAGGAAAAATGTAATTCAAATTTGAATAATGTGTACACTTGCCTTTTAAGGGGGAAATCTATCAAAGCAAAAGCAAAACAGATTTACAATTAAATGTAGAACTAATAAAATTCACATTGACAACTTTAATATGAGGAATGATAATGTTTTAGTGATATTTCTTTTAACTTGAGAGAAGTAGATATTGTTACAGCTCTGGTTCATTTGAATTTGACCTATTTATTCTCCTGTGCACTTTGGTTTGACTCAATTCTCTCACCACTTTTCCTGTTGCAGTGGTTCTCCACAGGGGGAGATTTTGTCCCCCAGGATATACTTGGCTATGTCTGGAGACATTCTTTATTATCACAACTAGGGGCATCTGGTGGTGGAGGCCAAAGGTGCTGTTAAACATCTTACAATGCACAAAAAGTTCCTTGCAACCAAGAATTACCTGGCCCCCAATGGTTGAGAAACCCGTTCTATTAGGACAACTGAAAACTTTCAAATATATAGGTTTTGTGATATCATTTGACTTTTGCTTGATACAAACAAATCACTATCATTTTAACTTCCCAGTTGTCAATATTTACAAAGCGCTCTTTAGATTATCACAAATATTCATTTATTACTTTTTTTTTTTTTTACCATCAGAATGAAAACACAAAATTAATTTATGGATTACCTTATCCATTAATATAGAGTACTAGACGCCCCGTATGTGAAATTTGTGCACGGGTAGAGTACCTAGAGCCATGGCTGATGTGGCTCGGTGGATATAGAGTATCAGCCTGTGGACTGAGGGGTCCCAGGTTCGATTCCGGTTGGGGTACATCCCTGGGTCACAGGCTTGATCCCCACTCGGGGACGTGCAGAAGGCAGCGATGCATGATTCTCTCTCATAGATGATGTTTCTCTCTCTCTCCTTCTCCCTTCCTTTCTGAAATCAATAAAAATATATATATTTTTAAGTTTTTTTAAAAAAAGATGTATTATTTTGTTAATTTTGTTTATTTTTGATGGCATGTTCTTAATTTGGTTGAAATATAGGCTTTTTCATTTTCCTTTATACTGCTGTCTTATTGCAAGTGGTAGAATCTTGAAACACAATACTATCTATAGTAACAAAAAGCCAGATCATGGTCAGAATGATCAGTCGATCAGTTGCTATGAGGTGCATTGACCACCTCTCAGTCCCTCCCCCTAGCCCACAGGCTCCCTTTGCTGGATGGCCAATGGGGAACCACAGGAACCGGGCTGGGTGGCAGCAGAGTGGGACTGGGGACTGGACTTGAGGGGCAGCAGCGTAGCGGAGGGTTGTGGGACGGTGGCAAGCAGTGTCACGGGGCGGCAGTGAGCAGCTTCGCAGAACGTGGCAGTGAGCAGCGTTGCAGAAGGTTATAGGGCGGCAGCAGCATCACAGAGTGTCCCGGGGCTAGCAGTGTCACAGAGCAGCAGACATGGCTGTGATTGTGCACTGGGCCTCTAGTAAATATATAAACAGAAAAACACGTGGCACTAAATTTTTATATAGTTACATTCTTCCCTGCACTTAAAATTTCTAAGGAGCTTAGCTGGTTTGGCTCCATGCATAGAGCATCGGCCTGTGGACTGAAGGGTCCTGGATTCAATTCAGTTCAAGGATACTGAACTGGGTTGTGGGCTCGATCCCCAGTAGTGAGTGTGCAGGAGGCAGCCAATCATTATTCTCTCTCTTTAAACATAGATGTTTCTATCCTATTTTTTCCCTCTCCCTTCCTCTCTGAAATCAATAAAATCCTATCTAATAAAAGAGTAGCATGCAAATTGACCATACCTACCAGCCAATCAGGAGCAAGTATGCAAATTAACCCAACCAATATGGCTGCAGCCACAGAGCAAACAGGGAGCTTGAGTTTCCCTGGCAATGGAGGAAGCCAGGCTTCCCGCACACCCTGGTCGACCCAGGCCTATGCCCAATCTACAAAGTTTCAATTCTAGAACATAAATAAATCCCAAATGCTAAGGCCTCCGCTTGGGTTGCCAGAGGCGTGGCCGACCTGCAAACCACCATAAGCCCCTAGCCCAAGCCGCCTCATGCCCCAAGGGAACCCCCACCTTAATTCAGGACACCCTTCAGGGCAAATCAGCTGGCCCCACCCTTGCATTGGGCCTCTATCCTAGCTAATAAAAGTAATATGCAAATTGACCGTTACTCCAACACAAGATGGCCAACAGGGGAAGGAAGTTGGGAGGGATGGAGCCAGGAGGGGAGGGTAGTTGTGGATGATCAGACCAGCAGGGGAGGGCTGTTGGGAGGAACCAAACCTGCAAGGGAGGGCAGTTGGGGGCAATCAAGCCTGCAGGGGAGAGCAGTTAGGGGTGACCAGGCTGACAGAGGAGGGAAGTTGGGAGCAACCTGGCCTGCAGGGAAGGGCAGTTGGGAGGGAACCCAGGCCTGCAGGGGAGAGCAGTTGGGGGTATCAGGCCTGCAAGGGAGGGCAGTTAGAGTCAATCAGGCTGGCAGGGGAGCGGTTAGGTGTGATCAGGAAGACAGGCAAGCAAACAGTTGGGAGCCAGCAGTCCTGGATAGTGAGAGGGATGTCCAACTGCCCATTTAAGCCGGATCCTGGATCCCAGTTGGACATCCCTCAAGGGGTCCCAGATTGGAGAGGGTGCAGGCTGGATTGAGGCACACACACATACACACACGCCATGTGCATGAATTTTATGCACCAGGCCTCTAGTAGATAATATAAAATTCCTAAGGAATCTTTAATTGACTGTGTTACAACACAGTTAAGTAACCCCTATGGGAGGTAGGACCTATTTATTATTCCTCTTTGATAGACATGACCCTACCATACAAATGGACCTACCATTTTCCAAATTTATGCTTTAAAATCATAAAGACAACCCTGTCTTGTCTTCCAGGAAGGCACACAGGATTTTTATGAATCTGAGATAACAGGTAAGTACATTCAACCCTATGCTAGTAATCCCTAGTTTGCATCTTCCATCAGATTTTCACC